GGAGAGACCCATCCTTCTCAGAAACACCTGGCTGATATCATTTGGCTCTGTGTCCCCACCAGAATCTCATTCCAAATTTATTCCCCACGTGTTGGAGGATGGGCCTGGAGGGAGATGATTGGAGTGGGGTGGATTTCTCCCCCACAGTTTTTGCGATAGTGGATGAGTTCTCACGAGAGCTGATGGTTTTGAAGTTTGGCAGTTCCTTCCTTGCTCTAGCACTCTCTCTTCTGCCACCGTGTAAAATGTGCCTTGCTTCTCCTTTGCCTTCCTCCGTGATTCTAAGTTTCCTTAGGCCTCCCCAGCCATCCAGAACGGTGAGTCAATTAAACCCCTTTTTAAAAATATATTACCCATCTCAGGTAGTTCTTTATAGCAGTGTGAAAATGAATTAATACACTGGCTATTTGATATTTGAACAAAACCAGGATCTTATAGTTAAAGAAGAGCTGGCTGATGGGCTGTTATCTTTATTCTGTGCAATTAGCTACCATTTTGTCTTCTGAGAATTGAAGTATTGTCTGGGCTATAAAAAGGAAGGAGCTGTTGGGTGTACAGATATGTGCCGTCACTGCAGTTAACTTGGAAGACTATTACCTTGTGTTTGGGTGAATAGAGATATTTTCTTCAATGTACAGCTAGTTTGTGGAGTCAGTGTAAAAAGTTGTAGTAAATCAAGTTCTGCCTGCTATACTTTAGGATACCTGTCCTGCTCTGTTACAGTCAACTGAGCAAAGGTAATTTAAAAACTGCTTCTCTATGCATTTCTATCAAAGCTATAAGAAGCAAGACTTTGGCAGCTAGTGTTCTTTTTAAGTTGTAATATCATTTTAGATGTTTTTATTCTTTCCATTTTTATTTTGCTGTTTCCCAGAATTGTTCAGTAGACCAGGTACTGTGTAAAAAGGAAATGTGTTTGCATTCACCACTGCATGTCCATTGTTATATACACATTATTCTAGAGTTAAGGCTTAACAAATATTTGGTGACTAAATGATCATGCCTCTCAGCTCCGATCAGACCAGTCTAGTCACAGACCATGCTCATGTGGTAGTTTCTCAACCTAGGAAATAGGCATTTTTGGGTTTTTTCCATTTCTTTAGTCTTTTCTCAGTGTAGCAGCCCAAATAGTTCTTTTAACCCTTATGTGAAATCATATCACTTTCCTGCTCAAAACCTTCCACTGTTTTCTCACCTAATGCAAAATAAAAGCCATTAACTCAGATTCATCTCTGAGGCTCTGTGATCTGGAATTCTAGCTTTTCTCTGGTCTCATCTCTTTCCCTCATCTTCCCCAATCCAAACACACTGTCATTCTTGCTGTCCCTGAACACACCAAGTATATTCCTGCTTCAGGGCACTTGCCATCCACTCTGTTTGGGAGACTTTTCCCATAAATGGCCACATAGCTCACTCTCTCCCGTGCTTCACGTCTTTGTCCAAATGCCACCTTACCAAGGAAGCTTCCCTAGCCAGCCTATCTGAGACATTCATTAAAACCTCATCAGTCTGTTTTCCTTCCCTGCTTTGTTTTCCCCTTTGTGTTTATCGTCATTTTCATCTGCAGTACTATACATGTGCTTGCTTTTCGGCCTGTTAACATGTCATCCGCAGAGGAGTACAGGCTTTTTAAAGTCAGGAATTTCAGTCCTCATTATTTATAACCAGGCCTTGATTGCTGGGAACAGTGATTGGCACAAGGTTGGTACTCATTAAAGAGTTAATGAGTGAAAAATTATCAGCTTCACCTGTAAACCAGAGGTAACAATACCTTGCAATTGTCTTTTGTGCATTAGTGATAATGCATATAAGGTAATTGGCACAGTGCTTAGCACATGGTACTTGCTGAACAAATTATGGCTTTTGTTGTTTTTATAATATAGTAAAAACCTAAAATATCTCCTATTTCATCTAATTCTTTGAACATATATGGATAAATTCCCTTATGTCCAAGGCACCATTTGTATAGATTATAAAGACAGAAAAGGCAAAGCCCTTAGCCTTATAGGAGTAGCACATAAACGTGTAAACTATTTTTTGTATTTGGGTACCCCAAATTCTTGCATGATTCATATTTAAATTTCTTGAGTTCCCAGATATCTCAAGTGCTGATAGGAAGCCTTTGCAACAATAACGAAAGTATAAATTCACGTGCACTTTCCTCCTCTGTAAGAATGCCTTTGAACATCTCTCTTTCTCTAGGTTATATTCTTGTCTAGAAATTTGAACATCTCTAGAAAAGGTAGAACACAAAGTCTGTTTCAAATCACCACCTTTATCTATGCTTTTTATATCACCCACATTTCTGTATCATGAATATGTACATCTATATATATGTATAGATAGATCTATGTATCTTTGTAGTTTCCATACATAGAAACTTTGTATAGAAAAAACTTTCTATGTATAGATCTATGTATAGAAACTTATCTATGTATAGAAACTTTGAGATATAAATCACACACTTTTATAAGGAAGTATTAACCCTAAAAAGCAACATAGAGATAATGTAATGAATGTCATTGTAGTCTATGGTTAGTTTTAACAATAACATTTTGCCATGGATTCAAACATTTTTCTTAGTAAATTGATTATTACAGATGTTGTTGAATACGCCTATTTCCCAGATTCAATTTTCCTTTCTCATCAGAGATAATCCTGACTTTGTTGTTTCTAATTACAATGAATTTATTTTTTTTAAGTTTTATAACTAGTAAATTCTGAATGTAAATCACAAACATGTCTTGATACACCTTTAGATTCACAGAATAGAGCAAAAGAAACAAAATATCTCATTTTAAACTCTGGAGGTCTACCTTCTCTTGAAAAATCAGGAAACCTGGTCAGTCCAGGTCTTAATTTCTTCAGAATTTCTTAGTTTCATCAGGTGCCCAGATGAAACTGAGAGATGGTTATCTACTCATCAACAGAATTTCATTTAGTGTCCACTAACTTACTTCTGGGCTGTTTCTTTAATTTATATTTCTTATTAGGGCTTTATAAGTATTTGCATTTGTAACTTGTTCTAAATCTTTTTACTTTTTTAATTTAAAAAAATAAAATTTTTTTTTGAGATGTCTCATTCTGTCATCCAGGCTGGAGTGCAATGGTGCCATTTTGGCTCATTGCAACCTCCGCCCCCTTGGGTTTAAGTGATTCTCCTGCCTCAGCCTCCTGAGTAGCTGGGATTACAGTAAGCGATACTACACCCAGCTAATTTTTGTATTTTTAGTAGAGATAGGGTCTCACCATATTGGCCAGGCTGGTCTTGAAATCTTGATCTCAAGTGACACACCGTCACAGCCTCCCAAAGTGCTGGGATTAAAGGTGTTAGCCACCATGCCCAGCCATTGTTCTCTAAACCTTTAACCCCTTACCAATTTTAAATAAATTATTTCTTTTTAGCTTATCTTCTGCTTCAATTTAATTCTAATTCACTTGGTTGTGCGTTTCTGCTTTGGCAACTATTCTTTTGTTGAAGAAGATGAAAGCAAAATTGATACTTTCCCTTTTCACATTTCCTTGAGTCACCAGTTTACCTACCTTTAAGCAATGGGCCTAATTTTTCATATTTTTCATGAATTGAATGCAATGAGTAATGTCCTTCATTTCCCCCCCACCCCTTAGCATTGTTTTATGAGACTGACATTATTTGGAGTTAGAAGCAGCTCACATTCACCTCCTCAACCCTTGAAAGTTTTCTTTTAAATTGTTAAACTAAACCTTTAGGGATTACAATCCCAATCCCAAATCATCTATACTTTGATTTGGTATATATTTTATTCCATTTTTGTCATTAATAGAAATTCTTAAAACATAAATTATTAACAAATAGAAAAACCCATGGTTTTATATTTCAAGGCCTACATGGAGAAAATCCAGTCCAATAACAAAAAATTGTTTTTATACGTTTTAATTATTCATCTTAGTTTGAGAATAGTTAATGATCATTGGGGAAAATATACTCTCAATAATTTACGATAATGCCAGATTATAAATGCCACACTGTTTATTGAATACTATGAGGACAAATAACAAATTGGGAAAATATTCACATACATAATTTTCTAATACATAGTGCCTGCAGTACTTCCTCTCTGGAGTATCAGATTATTCCTAGCAAATTCATCTATTTGGTGCAAACCAAGAAATGACTTTGCTGATTTTATATAGAGTCATATACAGGTTATTTTCAGTTTCAGAGTCTAATCTGGCAGTCACAAATTTTCCCATGCCTATTATGGTCATCAGGAATAGTTAACAGTGCACCATGGTATAGTTTTTGCAGTTCCTTAAAAGGAATTATATTCTTGATCCAGATCCTAGGTTATATGTGCAACTTTCTAAAGACTTTAAATAGGAAAATGTAATGTATCCATTTTCTTTAATATTAGAGTTGTAATTCTTTTTTCATCTAGAATTTTGGCTTTTATTACTTCTTGTTGTATAAATTGGCATCATTTTTCATTAGCTTGTCTTCAAAAGACAGAGAAATAAATTACCTTAAAGAAATTAAATAGAAAACTATGGGAACACATACCGAGGCGGTGGTAGACTCTCCTCAGTCCTTTTTTCTTTGAAAAAAGGAGACCTTAATCTTACTAAGTGTCCTTGGTGACATTTGCAGATGTTGTCTCTGTGCTCTTTAATGGGGAACTTGCAGTCATAAATACCTCCTGATGAATTAGTTTTACCTTCAGTATTATTCTGAAATTTTTCTTAAAATTCTATATTTGGAGGAAAAATATACTTTCCTGAAATATAAACTGAAATATGACTTCTGTCAAGGTTTGAAGGCTATCTGGCTTTTTTCTACATAGTAAATTAACATGTTCCAGAATACAGGTCAAGAGAGTGTGGGCATGTAGAACATATAATGCACGCTTTGGTAAAGATACGCTACTTTCATTATGGTGCTGATTTTGTGGTAGCACAGTAACTGAAAAAGTTCAAACTGAATATTCAAACTAAAGGTATCCCAAGGAAAGATACACACCAACTTTGTTTTAAAAGAAACAGTGTTTATTAAGAAATTAAATGTTGAATTCTCCTACAGTCTGTGAAGATGGTTTCTTCCATTTCCACAGCACAAGACAACAGCTAAGATTATCTGGAAAACACTTGCAATGCTTGGGAATGGAGAGTTCCTAGGAACAGGAGGTGAAATGAAATGATGTATGCACTAATTTAAACTTGGATCCAAGGGCAAGACAGTTTTTTCCTTGGCATAGTCCTTACTTGTATGAACACTGAAACCTGTCCATGGAATCTCATACCCAGGCTGAAGTAATAATTGGATCATTTTAGTTCAGAAGAGCGGAGCATGCTCAACTTAATCACAGATCAAACCAACAGTTCTTTAACTATTGTATCACATCTGAAATATCTGCATTCTTTATTAATAAAAAGGGTGCTTATACAGGGCAGAAATATAACTTTCTCAAGTATTTTATCATTATGATCTGAAGTACTTTAAACTATAAATTAAAAATAAATTATAAAAACTAGCATAAGATGCATCTTTTCTTACATGACATTGTTGGAAATAAGCTTTAAATACAGAATTGCAATATCACCCGACTTTATATATGATCAACAGTGAAACATGCTAATCATAAAAATAGCTTTTACAAATATACATTTGTATATAGTGTGTCTCCCTTACCATTCATAAATGTCTTCCACATTTTAAGACTAAAAAAAAAAAAATAATTAGCAAAGGGGAAAACACATTTACAATTCAAACCATAAAAACCTGACAATTGTACAGCTTAGAACATAGAAGAAATGGAATTTCTAAAATTGAGCAGTACTGTCCATTATATTTATTTGGGTTTTTATATAAATTGAACCAAAGATGCTGCTGTCCAGAAAGAAACCTCCTTTCACATTTCTGGTGGTTGTCACAGTTTCTCTTTTCTGCTTCGTGGCATCATACATTATTTCAGATCACTTTATCTGTAGAAACTGAGAAAAGAAAAAAAATATTTTAAAATAGAGATTTGTGTTTGATTGTTGATAAGATAGCATGCATATACTATATGTAAGTTAGATTTTTAAGGTTAAATCAGGAGAAGAATAAAGGAAGAATTAGATATTTAGGACAAATACTTTTGATAGTGGGTTCTTAGGTCCTTTGCTCTAGGCAATTTTATAATTATTTTCATTTATGGAATGTTACAATTTTTTTTTTTAACCCAGGGAATTTACTGCCTGAGGTCAGCAATTATTTTTTCAACCTGAGCTCTTGTTCAAGTCAAGGGGGAACCACTTAAAGTTCTAGGCTGGGGAAAAAGGTTTGAATTATGAATCTTTGTTGACCCTAACAAGAGTGACCATAGGATACTTACCCCTACTATGAGGCTTTGAACAGTGCAGGCCTAAGCCTTATGCATCTGGGATAGGAGAAAAAGCCAATGCAGGTCTTTGATCTGCACTTCACAATCTGAGTTGCAAAAGAAGTTAGAAACACTGAAAGACTTCATGGTACAACCATGAGTGGAAGCGTTATGCTGGAGAGGATGTGGAGAAATAGGAACACTTTTACACTGTTGGTGGGAGTGTAAATTAGTCAAACCATTGTGGAACACAATGTGATGATTCCTCAGGGATCTAGAACTAGAAATACCATTTGACCCAGCAATCCCATTACTGGGTATATACCCAAAGGATTATAAATCATTCTATTATAAAGACACATACACATACATGTTTATTGTGGCACTGTTCACAATGGCAAAGACTTGGAACCAACCCAAATGCCCATCAATGATAGAATGGATGAAGAAAATGTGGCACAATACCATGGAATACTATGCAGCCATAAAAAATGATGAATTCAGGTCCTTTGCAGGGACATGGGTAAAGCTGAAAACTATCATTCTCAGCAAACTGACACAAGAACGGAAAACCAAACATTGCATGTTCTCACTCATAAGTGGGTGTTGAACAGTGAGAACACATGAACACAGGGTGGGGAACATCACACATTGGGGTCTGTCAGGGAGTGGGGGGCTAGGGGAGGTATAGCAGGGCGTTGAGGGATAGGGGAGGGATAGCATTAGGAGAAATACCTAATATAGATGACAGGGTGATGAATGCAGCAAACCACCATGGCACATGTATACGTATGTAACAAACCTGCACATTCTGCACATGTGCCCCAGAACTGGAAGTATAATACTAAAAAGAGCCCAAATTCAATTGGTTGGAGAACTAGCTGAAATTGAATATGAAGATAAAATAATGCAAGAGTCCATCAGTGAAGAAAATCATTTATTTATCTTATAATCCTATCAAGTTCCAGGGCTTTATATTTAGATAAAAAATATTAGACCTACTGTTATCTCATCAACTTCAAAGGTCTTAGGAGTTAGAAAGTCTGTATATGCCTTAAGAGTCAAAGACATGCAAATCAAGATATCAGTTTGGATGGGACATGTTGATCTTCTATAAGTAGCTGGAGAATTAGGTAACTTGACTTTATTAAAGCTTTGAAGTCCCTGATACAAAGTTATATATATATACACACACACACACACATATACATATAAATATGTATATACAGTTATATATAAATATATTTATATATAAATATATTTACATATATTTATATTTATATACATATTTATTGCACTTTAGGTTCTGGGGTACATGCGTAAAACATGCAGGATTGTTGCATAGGTACATACATGGCAATGTGGTTTGTGGCCTCCATCCCCCCACCACCTATATCTGGCATTTCTCCCCGTTATCCCTCCCCAACCTCCCTACCTGCTGCTGTCTCTCCCCATTCTGCCCCCAAAAGACCTCAGTGTGTGATGCTCCCCTCCCTGTGTCCATGTATTCTCATTGTTCAACACTCGCCTATGAATGAGAACACGTGGTGTTTTTCTGTTCTTGTGTCAGTTTGCTGAGAATGATGTTTGAGTTTTCACACTCGTGTGAGATGTGCCTTCCTCAAACCTTGTTATGATGTTGGCACATTACCTGTCTAACATGAAAAAAAAAGAAAAAATTAATAAACTTAACTAAAAATAAAACATACCTACTTAATAGGCTTTTCTATAGTCAAACACATTAAAAAACTTATATCCCTAGGAAAGCAACTTTGATGAATAAGACACAAGTATATTTTGACACTGTATTTTGATATATTCTCTTTCTCTGTTTCTCTCCCTCATTGCCTTTTTCCTTTTCTCCTCCCTCTGTTTTCCCTTACCCAATTTATACTCTACACTGATCACATATATATGAATTTTGAAAAATGAAAGCTTTATTCAAATGTGTTTCTCGTGCAGTTCCAGGTTGCGTTTATGTACATAGGAAGAGTCAATTTGGTATTTAAGGCACGAAGGTTTGAACTTACTGTACAGCATAAGTAGGCTACTTTTTGTGTGGTTTTGTATATGACCTGCATGCACATATTAACAATGATCAATTATCAATATGAGAATGAATAACTTAACAAAATCGAAGTAACCTATAGATGAACACTGATATATGAAAATAAGATATTGCAATGTTTGAATTTTGGTAGATATCACTTAGGTACAAGAAGGAAATAAGACTACTTATATGATGGCAATTGCACTTTTCCCTCTTAAGGCCTCCATTGCTGGCTTTCTTATTATAAATGGAAAATGCTAAAAGCACTGTAGCAGCTGTGTATGTGAAGCTTACTAATCATGGCGTTTCTCCAGGTTAAGTCATGGTAGATGACACGAATCTAGTATATTCTTACACCATCCTGCATGTCTCAAAAGAGGTAATGGCTGTTTAGCAACTATCCACTTTAAGATGAAAAAAACAACCTGAAGTTTTTTTGTGCGTAATTTATTATCCTAGTATAATTTTTTCTTACACCTTCCTTTGCTTTTTGATTGTAAATAATTACATAAAAATAATTATTGGGAGAAGAAAGGTAGGTTTGAAAATAATGTATTGAAATCTTCCTTTTTGCCATAAAGCTTCAAAGCATTTGAATAAAACAAAAGCCTCATTAACTTTGTATTGTGAAGCAGGCATTATTAACCATATCATTACAAGTCATGAATATATTTCTCCTTATCTAAAAGCAATGGCAAAACATATTCACAAAGCTTTCCGTAGAACTTCTAGTCTAAGAAAAGGCTTGCTTTTGGCTGTAAAGCCTGGGAGAAAGAGGACAAACTATGACATTCAGATTGCTTTTTTTCTCAAGAAACATAGTCACTTATGAAGGTGATTGGTTTAGTATAATGTAAAACCAATTGTGCTCTCCTTCTCTGAATAGTGGGTAATTTATCTAGTGGCTGTTGGGGAGCTTGGAAGCTCTTAAAACAAATTCTCCTGATGATGAATGCTTTTTAAACTCTCAATCTCTCCCATTTCTGAAAAAAACAACAAAAGAGAGCTACTCGGATGGACTGGATTGTATTGAGCCAAGCAATTACTTCTACTTGACACAGATGAAATGGATAGTATTAACTTATATGGAAGGCACATTTAATTTTAAACTTTATGCATTCATATATTTAAAATAAAATAGTACAGCAATACATAGAAAGAATCCACCTTATTTACGGCTCTGCCCAAAAAATCATACTTTTAAATAAGCCTTATCACTTCTTCAGTAGCAGAAATGTTTGTTATTTTTGTTCTAATTCAGATTTATAACTAATAAGAAATTAGAGAAATTTAGATAATCCATATTTTTAGGGACCATATGTAAGAGAAAAAAAGGTGAAGGAAACTGTAGATAAGACAGGTCACACAACATTTTATAGAAAAGCAAAGTCTTATGAACAGGAATATACTTGTTGCCACTATGGGTCATGTTTCTTGAGTAATTGCCCAGCCATTCACTTTTTACAACGTGAATATATTTAGCTCTCACAAATCCCTCGTTATAAATGAGATACAATTCAATTCAAATTTTTTAAGTAACAACTAATTCCTAGCACCTACTGTTCATCATAAGTTAAAACTTGCCTTCTCTTAATAAACCTTTAGGAACCAAATTATATTACACTTTTAGGCTAAAATAATCATATCAAAAAACCGTAATGGAATGAAAACCAAAATGAGTGGTAACTTACCGGAATAACTACCAATGGAGGAAACTATTTCATTAAATAGTTCTTGGAGGCTGAATAATCTCTATTCCTGAGTTGATGGCCATTTGGGGTGTAGGAGGGTGAGTCAGAAAACACAGGGGAGAATCATCTGAGATTTTAACTTTAATATCAAGGCCTAGATGAGTAACATCTAATGTGTAATTGCACAACAGGGTGACTATAGCAAATTTTAAAATAAGAGTATAATTGTTTTTAACACAAAGGATAAATGCTTGAGGTGATGGATACCCTATTTACCATAATGTGATGATTACACATTGCATATCTATATCAAAATATCCCATATACATCATAAGATATACACCTATACATGTACCCACTAAAAATTAAAAAAATAGATGATCATGGCAGAGACTATGCAATGCCACTTAAGAGAGGTAGAAGGTTTCCAGGTTTTGATAATTGATTAGAACCTAACTGAAGCTTATTAAGTCAGCCAAAAAAAGAATGGGTTCACCTGAAAGTGACTTCTTTGGCACTGAAAGTACAGAAAAGCAAGAAAGTTTTGGAGGGCCACTTGGTTTTGCCCATTCAAGAACTGTCCACAGGAGGTGTCCAGGTCCTGGTAGTGAACCTAGCCTGTGATGACAGATACATTCCTATTGCAGAGATGGCACATCAGTACTCTCAGCACATTCAGTACCAAGGCTCACTCTGTTCTGTTTCCACAGCTACTTGTCAGTATTATTTCTTTCTCTGGCAATTCTGGGAAGTAACTCATCCCATGAATGCACCATAGAGTTCTGACATTTTCTTCAGGACAAAGAACAGTGTTGATTACCACTTGCTAGAAAACTGGGTTCGCCAGACGCAAGGCCGCTGTCCTGTGATGTACTGCTCTGTGCACGCAGCCTCTGCTGGGCCCTCTATCTCAATCTTGGGTCTTAGGGACCAGGGAACCAGTGCGACTATCCTAACATACCTACTGCTTTTGCCATGTAGCAAAGTCTGTTGTCTCGGGAGTCTCCCGTTTTCTGTCAGCATCCCTGGGAGTCTAGCTGATTAACTTATTAGCTTGGATAGTTATTTTTTGGGCCCCATTTGCTTGCAGAAAAGTGAAGTTCTTCTGCTTTAGTTCTCCTGAATACTGCTAAGCTTATTTAAATTGGGTTAACCCTTGACATTGTCTATAGTGATTCTTGGTAAGTTGTGACTCCACTGGCAAACTGCCTTCTGAACATGCTCACTGCTTTTTTTCCTGTCTGCATTCTACCTTTTCTTTCCTTATTTTCCTGCCCCTTCTAACTGTTCAGTTTTATAACTCAAACCCATTGTTCTGCCCAATAATTCTCATGTCTTTATCCAATTTTCCGTCTGGCTCACAACAGTAATGAAATAAATACAATCAAGAAACAACAGGGTCTTTTTTTTTTTCTTTTTAATCATAGTGCATCACAAATACCCAAATCAGTGGGTTTTGTTATTTCATAAAGAAACGAAAGATAAAAAGGCTAGGAAAATCATCCATTTTCTATAGTATCATAGAATTTAAGTTACTGTATTTTCATTTGATTTCTGTTATAAATCTGTGAAGGTAGGTTCTTGGGCAAGAATCATCCTCTGATTATTAGTTCTTGGATCAGAGAATGAATGTTTTGCCTCCCAGCCCAGAGTAGAGCTTTCTCTCATATTCTGTTCTGACCAATTGTGGGAATAAGCGTTGTAGTGAGGCAGCCTGGGCACACCACTAATTATAGCACGGATGATCTTTACCAGGATGTGAAAATACATGCCTTCATGATAAGTAGGAGATAAGGGATGGAATTAGTGGGAACATATTAGGGTTTTCCCATGAACTTCTACCTGCTTTTCCCTCATTTGTAGTAGTTCTGCCTAATTTTTTTTTTTTTTTAACTTTAGGTTCTGGAGTACATGTACAGGTCATGCAGGGTTGTTGCATAGGTGCATACTATATCCGGCATTTCTCCCCATGTTATCCCTCCCCACCCTTCCCACCCCCCGCTGTTCTTCCCCTAGCCCTCCCCAACTGCCCCCAGTGTGTGATGCTCCTCTCCCTGGGTCCATGTATTCTCATTGTTCAGTACCTGTCTATGAGTGAGAACATGCACTGTTTGGTTTTCTGTTCTTGTGTCAGTTTGCTGAGAATGATGGTTTCCAGATTCGTCTAAGTCCCTACAAAGGACACGAACTCATCATTTTTTATGGCTGCTTAGTATTCCATGGTGTATATGTGCCACATTTTTTAAAGTTCTGTTTTGAACTAATTAAAATCATTTTAATTAAAAGCTTACTTTAGGCATTTGTTTAAAAACTGTCATGTTGTAAAACAACTTTGATTAAGTAAAAAGAACAATTAACTTTGTAGTAAAATTACTGAGTGTGAATTACATAATTTTATTTAAAATGTATAAAAATTTAATATTCACAAAATTTAATTACATTGTTTGGATGTTCTGTTACACATACATTAACATTTCTCTTATTTTATTCCAAACTGTACTCTGATACTTTCTGAAGATAATGATGATTGTATTTTGAGTGTTTTGGGACCACTGACAATCATATTTAACTAGTTGAATTGATAAATTATAATAGTTTTAATAGGCACATAATTTATGTTTGATCATGCATCGATTTTTGATTTTTCATACGAATTATATAGTGTCTAAAAACCATTATTTACTTCCAATGCTGGAAATGATAATGATAATAGTACTCGAAATTGCCTAAGTTAATTCCAGAGTAAAAAGCCAAGTGCTGATTATGGTAAAATTATTATGAACTTTGAAATTTCACATATTTGACTGCTTTCTGCAGTTCCTTATGGGATTAGTTTTAGCACCATAAGTAGAATTTTTTTTTTTTTTTTTGGACATGGAGTCTCACTCTGTCACCCAGACTAGGGTGCTGAGGTACAATC